TGCTTTCTAGCCACTGGACAAGCAGAAGTTTGGATAAGCCTGCAATCAACATGGTCTCTAGTTGCAAATTGGCAAGCACTGCAGATCTCTAAGCGGTGGAGCTGCTTGGATTTCAGCAATGTGCTCTACGTGGGGCTACCTTTGAAGGTGACCCAGAAACTACAACTAATACAGAATGTGGCAGCCAGACTGGTGACTGGGAATGGCCACTGTGAAGATATAACACCGGTCCTGAAAGAGCTACATTGGCTCCCAGTACGTTTCCGAGCACAATTCAAAGTGTCGGTGCTGACCTTTAAAGCCCTCAACAGCCTCAGTTTAGCATACCTGAAGGAATGTCTCCACGCCCATTGTTCAGCCCCGACTCTGAGGTCCAGCTCCGAAGGCCTTCTGACGGGTCCCTCACTGTGAGAAGTGAGGTTACAGGGAACCAGGCAGAGGGCCTTCTTGGTAGTGGCACCCACCCTGTGGAACACCCTCCCATCAGATGTCAAGGAAATAAACAACTACCTGACTTTTAGAAGACATCTGAAGGCAGCCCTGTTTAGGGACGTTTTTAAAATTTGAAGTTCTATTCTGTATTTAGTGTTCTGTTGGGAGCCGCCCAGAGTGGCTGGGGAAACCCAGCCAGATGGGCGGGGTAAATAATAATAATAATAATAATAATAATAATAATAATAATAAGTAGTCAGCAACTGTGCTGCAGCATTTTGCAGTAACCAGCTTCCAGCTCAAGTGTGAGGGAAGCCTCGTATATGGTGCATTGCACCAACCCACTGTTGAACCTGTTGTTTTCTGATCTACAGGGGATATCTGGGCTTCCACTGAGAAAGCGGGATCAAGGAGCAGCCTCAGACTGCATACCTGCTCCTTCAGAGGAAGTGCAACTCCACCCATTCGGATACAGGAACCACTTACTCACAGTGCCTTCATCTTGCTCAGATTTATATTCCCCAAACTATGCATATATCATACTGATATCCCACCTCTCAACCATCCAGAACTGTTCTTTCAGAGGGATCCAAGCTGCCAAGGTACTCAGAAAGTGTAAGGTAGGATGCGTCTGGGATTTGGGCAGCAGAATGGTGCCCATACAACTCTAGGGGGCTTTAAGGATTAGCAGCAAGACTAAATTCATTTATTCATAAGGTGCCTTTCTATGCAAATATGGAGATAAGAACACTGGGGTACATTGCAGGGATTTTGCAAACTATTATCTCAATCTGACCAGCACACCATCTGCCAATATTTCTCAACCAGTGTGACTTAGCTATAATGGTGGCACACGCATTGGCAACCATGACGTTGGTTTGCAGAGCTTGTGCAATGAGCTGCAGCTGCTCAAGTTACTTCTGCAGAACTTAGATGCACAGGACCAATGGCAGACCTTGGGGGTCTCCCATTTCAGCAGTGCCTTGTGTGATGCCAAAATTCCACACCCCTTTGCCCTCCGTTCTACATCATCATTGTGGGCCAAATCTGAGGTGCCCCCAGGGCTCCATGCTCAGGGAAACTGAACCAGTCATGCTCCCCCAAATCAGCCTCTGGCAGGAGCCCAAACTTTTGCATCAGGCCACCATAGGTACTTTTTAGTTTTCTGCCATTTATTTCCTTCTGGAAGTGCCAGCTCAGGGTGTGTGTGTGTGGCTGAGCACTTTGGGGCCCCTGAATAATTCTGGGGCCACAGCTGAGCCCCTTCAATGTTCAGGGGGTGGAGGAGGTTATGCGCAGGGCAGTGACTTCTGTGGCTGCCTCTCCTTCTGCAGCTGCCAGAGAAAGAGGCCTCAGCTCCTCCTGACGTGGTGTACTCCAAGCAACCCAAGCACCAGCTCCTCTTCCTCCTCCTCCTGCTCTGCACTTGGGATGTTAGGATCACACTGCTTGGAATGCACAGTGCTAGGCATGTGTTTGATTTCACAGGCATGCACAAAATGCTGTTAGCCCTACAATGGTAGCAAATGAGAACTGGCACCAATAAGATATTTTCTTCTGGGCTCATAGTTGTTTAGTAGGCAGTGCTGGTGTTAGGCTATTTGTGCCCTTTTTTGTTGTAGTCGTTTAGTGGTGTCCGACTCTTTGCGACCCCATGGACCAGAGCACGCCAGGCACTCCTGTCTTCTTTGTCCATGGAGTTTTCTTGGCAGGGATACTGGAGTGGCTTGCCGGTTCCTGCTCCAGGTGGATCACGTTTGGTCAAAACTCTCCACTATGACCTGTCCATCTTGGGTGGCCCTGCATGGCATAGTACATGCAACTCCCTTCCCAATTTCTAACTTCAATTTTCAAAAATATTTCTTGTAGCAAAATCGGAAAGCACAATTTGCCAATTCTTTCAGGTGAAGTTCAGATGCTTGAGCACAGGGGTCAACAAACTTTTTCAGCAGGGGGCCAGTCCAATGTCCCTCAGACCTTGTGGGGGGGGGGGGCGGACCATATTTTGGAAAATAAAAATAAAAATGAAGAAATTCCTATGCCTCACAAATAACCCAGAGATGCATTTTAAATAAAAGGACACATTCTACTCATGTAAAAACACGCTGGTTCCTGGACTGTCGGCAGGCCGGATTTAGAAGGCAATTGGGTCAGATTCGGCCCTCAGGCCTTAGTTTTCCTACCCATGCTTTAGGGGGTTCAGTTGATATAGTTGCCAAGCTAACTAGTCTCTTTTGTTGAGTGTATGGTTATTTTTGTCAGCCATAGCTCATTAGAACAATGAATACATTTCCTAAACAACATTAAGATGTGACTGTAAGAATTATGATTAATTGCATTTTCCACTTTTTATTTACCGGTATATTATGTAACCTCCAATAAACTCTAGGGATTATTGGTGAGGGGGAAACAGATCTTCATTAGGGCCACACCAAAAGACAAAAAGGTCAAACCTGATATCCTTGCAGATTTTGGTTCCAGTAAATACAGGGGCTTGTCATGCTTGTGTAGTAAGACACAACTAACATGGATGGGACTGGGGTGAGTTTGTGGCAATGTGAATGCAGCAGCAGAGGGAACTTGGCATTAGGATAAACATATTAGCAATCAGACGTGCTAAGTTGGGCCAAACATTTGGGGGGGGGTGCATGTGCACATGAGACCCCCCCCCCATTGGACCACACCTGCTGTGGGCACCTGCCAGGACGCTCCTCTGGCGATCACGGCGGGGGGCACACAGAGGGCAAAAATTGCCCTCCAAGCCTCCTGCCCGGTGCTCTGGCAATCATGGTGGGCGGCACCTAGAGGGGAAATTGCTTTCCAAGCCAAATGCCCCTGCCTGGCATGGGAGCACTCACCTGGGGGCAGTGGGGGACGACAGCCACCTCAATATTGGGGGGGGGTTCCCTCAAAATATTAAGGGGGCTGAAGCTCCTTGCGCCCCCTATACCTGGTGCTCCTGTAAGCAATTACTCTGAATATCCATCCAATCAATTTGTCTGTGGCTGTTGGTGGAATTTGAAACCTGCCTTTTCTCTCTTAATCTGTAGTCCATATATGGGTAAGTGGTTCTTCTTTCTTCCTGCCTTTCCATGCCCTGCCCTAGCCAAGCTCTATATAAGAATGAGCCCAGCAGCCTGAGACACAGACCTGCCACTGTAGGAAGCAGCATCCATATCCTCAACAGGACAGAGCTTGGGTAAGTTGCAGGTCGGGATGAGCAAATTTGACAATTTTGGTCTCTTCCAGTCTTTCACATCAGCTTGCGATTTTCTTTTTTAAAAACCAGAATATCAGTGAACTTCTTCCAATGTGCACATTTTTGGAATCATTTCTCCTTTCTGTAATGCACTTCTAATGCTATTTTCTTGTATATAGGCATTTTTACACATGCTGTATTCTAGTACAGTGGAACCTCAGAAGCCGAAAGCCTTTGAACTCGAACTTTTAGGCTCCTGAATGATCGAAAAACAGAAGTGATTGTTCTGGTTTTCAAATGATTTTTGGAAGCCAAATGTCTGGTGCGGCTTCAGTGGTTTCCGATTGGCTGTAGCATGCTCCTGCAGCCAATTGGAAGCTGTGCTTTGGTTTTCGAATTGTTCCGGGAGTCAAACGGACTCCCAGAATGGATTGGATTTGGAAACCAAGGTTGGACTGTATTGCATCGTTCTACACATTCTGTGGCTGTCGAATTGCACTGCCCACCACGTCTGTTCTGACAATGTGGCTGCTGGTTCACACTTTGAGGAACTGAAACCAGATTTTAAGGAAGCACAGCCTTTGAAGAAATGGGATACTACCCGCCTTCCTTAGATGCTAAAACTGATGGTGATTTGTCCCATGAAAATTTCCTCAAATTCATGCAGGAGCCCAGTCAGCTGTAGTCAGTCCTTTTGTGCGGTGAGATTCTTAAGGAAACACTGCAGGGGAAGGGAATCGGTGTGATAAGCAAAGGGGAAAGAGAACAAAACCAGAATTGCTTGGCTCTGCCTGTCATTGACTCTGCCTCCACTTACCATTGGTTTTACTGCCTTCTGCCCTACAAATCCTACCAGTCCCAATGGACACCAGCCTCCACTGGTCCAGAATCCAGGATCTGTGATTCCTCAACATTGGCAAACTCTTTAGGTTCTCCCTTCTTTCCCTAACCTTCTTGTTTTTCTCCATTCTTTTCCTTCTCTTCTCATTTTTTAGAAATTCACATGAAGGAGAATTGTGATGTTAAGAGTATAAAATACTATTTTATTTCTTCCTGTCATCACCACATGGGCAAAATGGCAACCAGTGGGGATAGGTTTTGACCTTCCATAAAAGGTCAACCAGAAGATGGAACATGGTCAGCACTAGGTGCCTCTGCACACGAACCTTATTTGACTCCATGATACTTCAACAATCGCCAACTTTAAGTTTTGGGTTCTCTCTTCTTTCTCTAATCTTCCCATTTATGATTTTAAGAACAGAAAATACCGATTTACTTCTTCCTGCTATCACCACATTGACAATGCCAATAAGTAAGGATAAGTTTTTAATTTGCTGCACATTTCCTTCCCCTGAAGGTCAACCAGAAGATGGGAGTTGTCACCTACCTTTGCCTTTTTGGTTTCCTGGTCTCCTATTCTTTCCCAGGAGGTGAGTGCTTTCACAATTATCTGGGAATTCCCCAGAAATTTTAATTGGGGTTAAGATCATGAGAAGAGAAGACTCCCTGGAAAAGACCCTGATGTTGGGAAAGATTGAGGGCACAAGGAGAAGGGAATGACAGAGGACGAGATGGTTGGACAGTGTTCTAGAAGTTACTAACATGAGTTTGACCAAACGGTGAGAGGCACTGGAAGACAGGAGTGCCTGGTGTGCTCTGGTCCATGGGGTCACGAAGAGTTGGACATGACTAAATGACTGAACAACAAATATTTATAAAAACAAAACTACTTGTCAGATTTCCAGGTGATGGTAACCCAGCTAAGGCTCTTGGAATAAATAACCAGGCAATGGAAGCAGGTCCATTAGGGTGAATAGGGAACTGCCCTGCCAACCTCAATCTGCTCTGAACCACTCCTCATATTCATATTTACAACCAGTCAGGGAGTGGCGCTGCCTGTCATTGACTCTGGATCCACTTACTGTTTGCCTCCTTGCTTTCTGTCCCAATTTCCTATCGGTGCCATGGGGTACCAGTCACCAATGGAAGCAGGAATGTTTAAATTAGGTCTGCATTCATTAATCTTAAAATTATCTGTGCAAATTTGTAGGTGAAGTAGGATTCCACACTGAAAATTGCATTCTAACAGCTCCCCCCCCATCTTTTTCTTCCTTTACTCCTCTCTCCATGCAGCAAAGGCCAGATCCTGTCCCAGGAATTGGCTGAAATCCCAGGGCAGCTGCTATGCATATTTTGACTCTGAGAAAACTTGGTCTGAAGCTGAGGTATGAAGCTGTTTCTCACCAACCAAGCTGTCACATCAGGTGCTGTCATGGGTTGCAGATGACATTTTTGTGAGGAGGGCTATCAGTGTGAGCTGTTGGGAGACAATACCTGGCCAGCATCTTGGTATAATCAAAAGAGAGTTGCTCACCCATTGTGTTCAATTAACCTGTTTCCACTGGAGCCAAGAAAGCTTAATTAACAGTCAGGAGAGATGGCCTGGCAAGAAGGTACCATCTTACAAGTGAAAAGATACAAGCTATCTCTGCCCCTTTGTCCCTCCAGCTTGCATGTGAGCAGGAGGGACCTCATGGCTCACTCAGCTGGGGGGGGGGAGTGGAGCCTTCCCACCCCCAAGCCAAGAACCGCAAACAAGCTGTGTCATCCTCAGCTCTGCAGGGTGTTGGGATGAAAGTGCCTCATCTCTTGCAATGAGAGCTGTGGCCGTTTCACCCCATGCCTTGAGGGCTGGGGCCAATACAGATTGTTGTTTCAACATCATGGTGTATCGACAGATTGTGATGTTTGGCTGGTGATACATCATGGTGTTGAAAACCTGACATCACCCAGCTATATACAGTTAAGAACAACTATTTCAAACATTAAGATAATAGTTAAATTCAAGGATAAGCTACAAAACCAGATTAAAACACAGGTCAACATTCCACATGCCTGCATAAAGGTAAAGGGACCTCTGACCATTAGGTCCAGTCATGACCGACTCTGGGGTTGCGCGCTCATCTCGCTCTATAGACCGAGGGAGCTGACGTTTGTCTGCAGACAGCCTCTGGGTCATGTGGCCAGCATGACTGAGCGTTTCTGGCGAACCAGAGCAGCGCACGGAAACGCCGTTTACCTTCCCGCCGGAGCAGTCCCTATTTATCTACTTGCACTTTGATGGGCTTTCAAACTGCTAGGTTGGCAGGAGCAGGGACCAAACAACTGGAACTCACCCCGTTGCGGGGATTCGAAATGCCGACCTTCTGATCGGCAAGTCCTAGGCTCTGTGGTTTAACCCACAGCGCCACCCGCTTCTGAAAAGAGTGCAGCCAAATCATGACTATGAGCATTCTTCCTGCATTCATCCCAGTTTTTGTGTATGAGCTTCAAGGTGGTTTTCTTGCACCAAGATTGAGTGCTTGAAGCACCTTTAATTGCACTCGTGTGCAGCAGGTCCAGCAGGTTTCTTTAGTTTCCCAGCAGGTCCAGAGGATGGAGAAAGGAGCTTGGCTTCACTCACAGCATTTTCTTCACCCCCTTTTCTCTCTTCCTTCCTCAGCTGCTTTAGTTCCCATTTGAAAACCTTCCAACTCTCCACCACTGGTGTTTTATGATTTTTAAATAATTGTTATTACTTATTTGACAAGTTCTGAACCACTCTGGGAAAGCTTTGTGGGAAAGTGTGTGTGCGTGTGTGTGTGTGTGTGTGCGCGCGTGTGCGTGTTAGTAATAGTGGTGGAGCTTATTTACTTGCTTGGCTATTCTCAGAATGAGTGCCTGAGCTATGGCTGTGGGACCCATCTTGCCTCCATCCTCAATGAGAAAGAGTCAGATGTGGTGGCCAATTACATCTCTGCAAACCAGAAGAATGCAAGCCAGGTCTGGATTGGGCTGCATGATCCCACTGAGGTGAGTTGCCTTTACTTTCTCTATTTCAGGCCATTGTCACTGAGTAATGGCTTCTTAGCATCACCATTCCATCCTTACCCGAATCGTCTCCCCAGATGACTCCAATATGTGACTTTTCCACAATTTTCTAATAGAATCCTCCTCTAATATTGTTGTGGAAGTGGGGAGATGATTAACATATTCAATCCTCCTGGCAAACTGGGAATAATATCCCCTCACTCACCCAAGTTTAGGATATTCCGCCATTCTCCAGCAGAGTTTCTTGTGCTTTGAGGAAAATAAGTGGCTCACGTAAATGTAAACTAAGCTTTGAATAATAAAGAAAACTGTAACAAAATAACAAAATAAGAGAAACTAAATACAACAACATGAGGCAAGTCTGAGTCAAGAAGATGCAGTTGGTCCCTCTTAACTGATATTCTTAACGGAACACAGACACTGAAGGGAGGGGCTGATTCCGGAGCAAAACACACAAGCCCCACCCACCAGATACCAAGCACTCTACTATTCAAATTAGGTCCCAGTGTTTTTCCTACAAATACAATCGTACCTTGGTTCTCGAACACCTTGTGACTCAAACGTTTTGGCTTCTAAACACCATAAACCTGGAAGTGAGTTTTCCAGTTTGTAAACGTTCTTTGGAACCCAAAGGTCTGACGTAGCTTCTGATTGAGTGCAGGAAGCTCCTGCAGCCTATTGGAAGCCACACTTTGGTTTTTGAACGTTTTCGGAAGTCGAACGGGCTTCCGGAAAGGATTCCATTAGAGAACGTGATCTTTGCATTGGCCTCCTCGTTTCAAATGAATGTATGATCTGTTCTATCACATTGCTGCAGAGAGGACATTGGAGGTGGTTGGATGACGAGATCTACAATTACAAACGCTGGGATTCTCATCGCCCAGACAACTACAACAATGAAGAATATTGTGTGCATCTGCTAAAGGACGCAGGTAAGCAAGCAATTTGTAGGGACTGATTAAAAAAAGGTTTCATGCCTATCACTCCATCAGTTTCAAGTATTTTAAAGGGTAGTATCTGACTTTAAAAATCAAAATGATCAAACTCAATATACTTTGGATAGTCATTGCTATTGATGGTCCATTCATTTGAAAGGTTTACTCTGGGTATTAGTTGAGTGAATACAGTGGCAGAGCTTCATGCTCTGGCACCGGGGGGGGGCGGGGCGGAGAGCAGGTGGGGGAGGGGCTGGTGCACATCCTGGGGGCAGGGGGTGCCGCTTGCGGGGCTGGGGCGCCCAGCACTGGTCGGGGGAAGCCACGATGGCACCCTGCCCAGATCGCCCTGCCAGGGGCAGGACACTCCCCTCTCACTCCTCTTCCTCTGCCAGTGAGTGGATACACTCTCAGCCTGGTGCTTCTCTGTACTAAGGTTCACAAGTCAATATCTCTGGAGATCTGACCAGAAGTGGTCCAACTTATTGATCCTTTAAGGACACTTCCAATCATACCATGAAGCAGAATCTTTTTCTGCAGTCAACCTTCATTCTTCGGTTGCATGTGATCACATATTTTGTTCAGAAAACAGCGATTGCCAAACTGGGTTATGCCATCTGGGTTATGCCATCTTATATTCTATCATGTTTCTTAACAAAATGATTAGGCTCAAACAGCATCATCATCATCATCATCATCATCATCATCATCATCATCATCATCATCATTATTTATACCCCACTCATCTGACTGGGTTTTCCCAGCAACTCTGGGTGGCTCCCAACAGAATATTAAAAGCACAATATAACATATAAGACTTTGAAGCCAGGTGATCAGTGAGTGACCTTCATATGTTTTGTTAGTTCTGGGTCACAGCCCTGCTGTGAGTCCTGAAAAGTCCAGACTCACTGGAACAAACTCTGGGGTTGGGCCAAATGTTGAAAATGCTTTTAAATGCTTTAAAATTTTTAATTTTTAATCTGTGGCGTTTTAAATTTTGGTTTTTTGTTTTGTTTTTGCTCTGTCGGGGGGTGGTGGTAAATGTTTAGTTGGGCCTGGGGATTAGTTTAACTTTAGTATAATTATAAATTGTTTGTTGTTGTTGTTGTTGTTGTTGCTTTCTACTGCTTTATTGGTTCATTGTATAGTTTGTATTCTGTTCTGAAGGGGAGATGGTCAGGGCTGTCTGGGAGTGGGCCCCAGTCAACAGAATGGCTGGGGTGCACTTGGACACCTGATCTCAGTGATCATGGGTAGGAGGAGGAGTTACGCTAAGACCAGACCATGTCATTAATGAGGAGGCAGGTTTAGTTGTTGTTTGAAGACTATCCCTGCCTCTGGGTCTTGACCACAAGGATACTGGATTCAACAAGGGAGACCCACATTACATGAAGGTGCTGCTGTGCAGTGCCAGGTCAATGATTCACAAGACCACTGAGATCCACGACAGGATGGAGGACTTGACCTGGCATGTGTAACAGAGACTTGGCTGGATGAAGAAGATGGGCCTGTCCTTGCCACTGCTTGAGAGCAGTACATGTGAAAAGGATCTAGGAGTCTTGGTTGACCACAAACTTGACATGAGCCAACAGTGTGACGCGGCAGCTAAAAAAGCCAATGCAATTCTGGGCTGCATCAATAGGAGCATAGCATCTAGATCAAGGGAAGTAATAGTGCCACTGTATTCTGCTCTGGTCAGACCTCACCTGGAGTACTGTGTCCAGTTCTGGGCACCACAATTCAAGAAGGACACTGACAAACTGGAACGTGTCCAGAGGAGGGCAACCAAAATGGTCAAAGGCCTGGAAACGATGCCTTATGAGGAACGGCTAAGGGAGCTGGGCATGTTTAGCCTGGAGAAGAGGAGGTTAAGGGGTGATATGATAGCCATGTTCAAATATATAAAAGGATGTCACATAGAGGAGGGAGAAAGGTTGTTTTCTGCTGCTCCAGACAAGCGTACACGGAGCAATGGATCCAAACTACAAGAAAGAAGATTCCACCTAAACATTAGGAAGAACTTCCTGACAGTAAGAGCTGTTCGACAGTGGAATTTGCTACCAAGGAGTGTGGTGGAGTCTCCTTCTTTGGAGGTCTTTAAGCAGAGGCTTGACAACCATATGTCAGGAGTGCTCTGATGGTGTTTCCTGCTTGGCAGGGGGTTGGACTCGATGGCCCTTGTGGTCTCTTCCAACTCTATGATTCTATGATTCTATGCTTGTCTACCAGGTTTCTCTTACACACAGCAACCCAGTTCATATGGGCAGGGAGGCGAGGTTGCAGTGAGTTTTAGGAACTCATTAGCTTGCACCAGGTGTCCTATTGGGAAGATCCAGTTTTCTGAGCGTGTGTTCTGGAAGTTGGACAACAGGATTCCTTTTGATGTACCGACCTCCCCACTGTACCAAGGATTCCCTGGCCGAGCTGCTTCAGGTCATGGCAGATGGTCTCCTGGAGACACCTAGTTTGGTTGTCCTAGGGGATTTTAACATCCATGCTGACACAACCTTATAATGGGCTGCTTGGGACTTTGTGGAAAGCATGGTCTCCATGAGGCTGTCCCTGAATGAATTTGGCCCAACTCATAGTCGCAGACATGTCTTAGACCTGGAGTTCACCTCTATGGATGTGGGTGATACGACAGTAAGAAAAAGCAAAAAGCAAGCAAAAAGAAAGAAGTGCCATGGTCAGATCACTTCCTGGTGTCGTGACCCTTCCCCTCTGCAGGGAGGTGGGACTGATTTGGATCCGCCTCCACCCCACTTAATGGATTCAAATGGTTTGCAGAGAGTGGTGTTGTTGTCTTCCACTGCCTCCCACTCCTGTCTTCCACTGCCTCCCATAGTTTGGTCAAATTCATGCTGGTAGCTTCAAGAACACTGTCCAACCATCTCGTCCTCTGTCATTCCCTTCTCCTTGTGCCCTCCATCTTTCCCAACATCAGGGTCTTTTTCAGGGAGTCTTCTCTTCTCATGAGGTGGCCAAAGTAGGGGATGTTTTATCCCATGTTGATGGCCTTTCAGCTGATTCCCCGGTGGCCCACTGGAATGCGGAGTTAACCAGAGCTATCGACTGTCTGGCTCCGAAGCGCTCTCTCCAACTGCATGGAGCTTGGCAGCCTCATGGTTTTATCCAGGGCTGAGGGTGATGAAACAATCACTGAGGTGGCAATAGCGCCAGTGGTGGAAATCGGACCAGAAACAGGTTAGAGCTCAATGTTGAGCCTACCAAGTGGCAATAGCGATGGTGAAGAGGTCCTTCTTCACTGCCTCTATTGCATCTGCAGAAAACAGCAGCAGGAGACTCTTTCAGGTGGTTCACAATCTTAACAGAACCACCTTCACCATTGGGGCCTGGTAAGGATCCCAAGATCTCCTGCAATGATTTTGCAACTTTTTTGCAGGCAAAGACGCTCAGATTTGGAAGCAGGTAGACGCCATCATGGGAGCAGGGCTGGGGCAGGAGAGTGCTGGAGTCCTGTCTATTCCAGTTGCATGGGATCAGTTGCATGACCTCCGAGGATGTGGACAGGCTGCTTGGATGAGTGAAACTGACCACCTGCACCACCACATGCAGCTGCTGGGAGAGATCATCAGTGGGTTTGGGCTGGGTGTTCATCAGTATGCAGATGATACCCAGCTCTACCTCTCTTTCAAATCAGAACCAGTGAAGGTGGTGAAGGTCCTTTTTGAGTGTTTGGAGGCAGTTGGAGGATGGATGGCAGCTAACAGATTGAGGCTGAATCCTGACAAGGCAGAAGTACTGTTTTGGGGGGACAGGGGGATGGCAGGTGTGGAGGACTCTCTGGTTCTGAATGGGGTAACTGTGCACCTGAAGGACCAGATGTGCAGCCTGGGACTCATTTTAGACTCACAGCTGTCTGTGGAGGCACAGGCCAATTCTGTATTCAGGGCAGCTGCCTACCAGCTCCATCTGGTATGCAGGCTGAGACCCTACCTGCCTGCAGACTGTCTTGCCAGAGTAGTGCATGCTCTAGTTATCTCTCGCTTGGACTACTGCAATGCGCTCTGTGTGGGGCTACCTTTGAAGGTGAGGCAGAAACTACAACTAATGCAGAATGTGGCAGCTAGACTGGTGACTGGGAGTGGCTGCAGAGACCATATAATACTGGTCCTGAAAGACCAACATTGGCTCCCACTACGTTTCTGAGCACAATTCAAAGTGTTGGTGCTGATCTTGATAGCCCTCAATGGACTCAGCCCAGTATACTTGAAGGAGTGTCTCCAGCCCTATTGTTCAACCTGGGCACAGAGGTCCAGCTCTGAGGGCCTTCTGGTGGTTCCCTCACTATTATTAAAGTCTGAATCCATTTTATTCCCCCTACACATTGGGGAAAGGAATAATAGGCAATAAGAAGTAACTTTCCTTATTACTTGAATTATAGTTTTTGTTTTGAATTTCAGGTTTTAAGAAATGGAATGATGTAAAATGCAACAACAAGTATGCCTTCATCTGCAAGCAATAACTCTAAAGGAGACTTCCCTTCTCCGCTGTGTTGGCTGGGAAGATTCCTTGACATTATATGTATTTCTGCTCTCTCTCATCACTTTCAAAATAGCCATTGCTATAGAGATGCCTCTTCAATTTCCCCCTTCCCTTTGAAATTTTCTTGGACCTGCAGCAGAGCATCATCTTAATAAATTCTCTTCCATGCATATTTTCCTTATTGCATTGCTGTTCTGCTTCGTCCATCCATACTTACAAGCACGGCCAGCCCACCCATGAGGCAAGGTGAAGTTCTTGCCTCACACGGCAAGCTGGGATGGGTAGCAGACTGGCCTCCTGCTCTTGTTGACTGTCTCCTCCGTCTCCACCAGCCTGCCCTGCTTGCATCCACATTCCCTCCTATAATGCAAGGACATCATAGATGATAGGAGAGACCTGCCCCTGTTACATGGGTGCATTATGTATGTGCCCTGAGGGAATGGCGGAGAGAATGATGATGAGGGCATTGGCACTGGAAGGCCTTTTCTGGGTGAGTGCCAGCTGCCCACAAGTGGGGACCTGGGGGTGAGTGACAGGGGTGTCATGTGAGCTGGAATTGCATGGGGTGGCAGGAGTTGAAGTCACAGGAGGAGAGAAGGTTATCCTGGCTCTGCCTTTACCTCTTCCACAAACCCAAGTGCTCAATCCCTTCCTGAAGCCATTTACTAGGTACTGGAGTCAGGAACACTGGCATGTTGCTGTTAGTTAGGATAAGCCTGACTTTCAGCATAGCTGACAAGGAAGGCTGTAGAGGATTGGTTCCTCCTTTGCAAGGTGTGTAGTTCTTGGGCAGGCAGGTGAAGCAGGAAAGAACAGCATCCCCTACCATGTAAAGGAGCCCCATTGTCTTTTAGACTTCTTAACTATGATTCTTGGGGGTGCAATTTTCTCATTTGCTTCAGTTGCCAGGATGCCTTGGGCTGGCCCTGCCTTGGGGACACTTCTTCTACCATCACCGCTGCTCACAACACACAGAGCATTCATACCTCAAAGTAGCTACAAATCCCATCCTAAAGCACACTCCTTTTCTCAGAGCTCCTCAGCACTGTTGATACTATAACCAGAATTATGGAAGCCATAAAGTGAGGATAGGGAAAATTACAGGAGGTCCCCACAGCATGTGACTGTTGAGATACCCCCGGGGAGACGGGGGCGATTGGCAGGCCCCCAGCTGGCTCCAGCCCAACGGCCGGCAGCCAAGCGAACTCCGGTTCTTGGAACAGCATCAAAACTGCGACTCAAGCCTCAGAGACCTTTAGAGACTGAGCACGTAAGCTAGCAGAGATAAGAACTCTTTGCAACAGAAGTAGTGGACAGAGGCATATGTAAGCATATTTACAAGCATTTATTCAGCATCAGGACAAAGGAAAAAAACATGTCTGCTTCCCTTTGTGTCCAAGTAAATGGCACAGGTAAAAGCTATATACAACGGAAGTTCCCAGCAGACTGTGCTGGAAGTAAACTGACATGTGACATACAACAACTCTACATGCCTGTTCTAAAGGTGGAATGAAACTATATCCTAGCAGTGACCTCTGACAAGGCCTGGGATGCTGCATTGTTCATTCGACCAGCCCCAGCAACAGCTGCCTAGATCTTCCAGTGCAGCCTGGGATAGAAGGAGAAATACTCTTAAGCATTCACAAAACATTTTGCCAATCACGATAAACAGAAAATTACAACCCATGTGTTTAAGTAAGAATTTTAACTTGCTGCACCTGTGAGATGTTTGATGGCTTTATGGTTGTATTTCTGATTCATTTTATATTTTTTGTTTTGTGCAATGGCTACGGTATATCAATGAGCAACAGCCCCGTGGTGACAAGCAGACATGGCAAATGGGGTGGAGCATAGGCGTTTCACAAATGTTTTCTCTGTAGGAAGAAAGCCTCAATCTTTCAAGCAAGGTAATTCTGAGTAGCCACCCTTTTATACTGTAAAGGCAGCATACTTGGGGAATGACTGAAATCATGCTGAAGCGGAGGAAAGTGCCTTAACAAACCTATCTCAGTACAGAAGCAGACTTTTGTCCTTTGCCTGATGTCAGGGCTAGCAGCATATATCACCAGCTTCCCCTGTTCCTTTTCTGCTGCTCTGGGAGGCTCCTCTCCAGAGTCCCAGGTTCCTTCCTCTGATTGCTTAGCAGCAGCAATTATGTGATTAAGGATCCTTAGCAATGATGCTGCCTGTCAAAGGCTCAGATGGTTGCCTCTATGTTCCTTTTATCCCCCACTGCCTGGTGACCCTGTTTGTACTATTTAATTGCCTTTAAATGTATTAAGAGCTGTAACTCAACCGGAATGGTACGGATTGCTGTCTTATAATGGTGACGTTGTACCAGGACTGCCTGCAAGCATTCCAGAGTCTGAGCTTTTCTTTTCTTAAAGTAAATCTCTTCCTGCCTAGAAGGAAACCTAGCAGTTTCTCAGACAGACAACTAGCATGCCAGCAATTTGTAGCTATTTTTAGGTTTGACTGCAGTGAGCAGCACTGCTGGGGGCAGGTCCCTTAGGTGCTGTGCTCCTCGTTCCCTGCGACCACCACCTAAACTTGAGTTGGTGCTCTTGGACCTTGAGTTGCAAAGATGGATGGACTGAGAAGGTCATAGTCATGGGTTGCAGTGAATGGCTGCAGAGAGCAAGCCTTGAAGGCTCAATTGTTGAAGGGGGGAAAACAAGGGTGCTGTGCACCCCTAAAGAAAACTCAAAAGGGAGTTTTGGGTGCAGGGTTTTGGCAACGCCATATTGCGAGCTCCCCTGATAACCCCACCACTCTGAAAGGGGAGGTGGGGGGGAAAGACAGGGTTGAGCCAATGCACAAGAATCCATTGCTAACCCCTCCCCCCAATGAGAAGCCTCAGGCTCCGGCTGTAAAGCGGTTAATGTCTGTTGAGGGAGGGGGCCCAACCCATTTGCCGTCTTGCCCTGAGCCCCCTAGTCCCACTTCACCTCACCGGGAAGCGAGCTTTGCTTGATTACATTTCAACACTTGCTGGATGCAGGGATTAGAGGGGTCTGGCACCCCGCTCCCAACTCATAACATTACTATGTCAAATTGACCTCTGCACCAACTATTTCTTAACAAATATTTCTTAACAAATGCAACTATTTCTTAACAAGGGTGACTTGGCTATAGAGGTGGAATAGGCATTAGAAACCATGCTTTGGGTTTGCACAGCTTGCACAAAGAGCTACAGTTGGTCAAGTTCCTTCTTCTGCAGAACTGTTACATTTGCAGGATCCTTTTCACCTTTTGCACCAGGTCATACTTATTATATACTTGCAAATTTCTTCCACCTCTATCCTTCTGATTTTATGTGCCTCTCTTTTTTAAAAAAAATAATTTTTATTGCTTTTTTCAGGTACAGATATAAAGTCAGATATATAGAAAAAGATAACAGTAAGAAGAAAAAGAAAGAAAAGAATTCCATCTTTGCAAAACATTTTTTCATCACCAACCGGACTTCCCCACATCTCCCTCACCTTGCATTCTTTACAATAAAGATAACAAATTATTACCTTGTTTCATGCATTCCTTTGTACTTTCAAATAGTTATGTTTTAAGTTTAAAATACTTATTGTCAATTTACTTTTGCCTTAATGTAATTGTGATATCACTTTAAACTTTAGTCCTCTCATAATTATAACTTAGTTTCCCATAACACCGAATCTTGTTGCTGAAGCTAGATTTTCCAAATCATGCAAATTCTTAACATTCATATAACTTATAATATTTTTGTAAATAGTCCTTAAATTTTTCCCAGTCCTCTTCCGTTGTTTTCTTCTCCCAAATCTCAGATTCTGCCAGTCATTTCAGCCAGTTCCATATAGTCCATCAATTGCGTCTGCCATTCTTCCAGTGTGGGCAAATCTTGTGTCTTCCAGTATTTTGCAATAAGTATTCTTGCTGCTGTCGTTGCGTACATAAAAAAGGTTCTGTCCTTCTTAAACACCTTCTGGCCGACAATGCCCAGAAGGAAGGCCTCTGGTTTCTTGGGAAAGGTGTACTTAAACACCTTTTTTAACTCATTGTAAATCATCTCCCAGAAGGCCTTCACTTTTGGACAAGTCCACCAGAGGTGAAAGAATGTCCCTTCAGCCTCCTTACATTTCCAACATTTATTATCAGACAAATGGTATATCTTAGCAAGCTTGACTGGGGTCATGTACCACCTGTATATCATTTTCATAATATTCTCTTTCAAGGCATTACATGCCGTGAATTTCATACCAGTGGTCCATAACCTTTCCCAGGCTTCAAACATAATGTTGTACCCAATGTCCTGAGCCCATTTTATCATTGCTGATTTGACTGTCTCATCCTGAGTGTTCCATTTAAGCAGCAAGTTATACATTCTTGAAAGTACCTTGGTCTTTGGTTCTAACAATTCTGTCTCTAGTTTCGATTTTTCCACCTGGAAACCTGTTTTTTTGTCCAACTTAAAAACCTCTTGAATTTGAGCATAGTGAAACCAATTTTGCACCTTATTCTTTAGTTTTTCAAAACTCTGCAGCCTCCAAGTTTCTCCGACTTTTTCTATAATTTCCCCATATTTAGGCCAACCAACCTCCATATTGGGTTTTTTCCAGGCCTTAGCCTCTGCTGGTGAAAGCCACCTCGGAGTCTTACCTTCTAATAAGTCCTTGTATTTTGTCCAGACCATAAATATTGATTTTCTGACAATATGATTTTTGAACATTTTATGAACCTTTGCCTTGTCGTACCACAGATATGCATGCCATCCAAAGGCATTGTCAAACCCTTCCAGATGATTTTATGTGCCTCTCTGCCAGGGGTGCCAGCTTGGGGGTGGGGCTGAGCTCTTTGGGCACCCCAAATGATTTTTTTGGCTGGGGCGGAGCTCCCATAATATTCAGGGGACAGAGGAGGCTGGGCACCAAGCCGCAGTTCCCATGGCTGGTTTCTCCTCCCCCCCGGATGTTCCTCTTTTCTGTGTGTATTATTTTTATTAATTTTTTC